AAAAGTTATGGATGACTACCTTGTTGATGCTTTCATGGAACAATATAATTGTGGTAACAAAGTAAATGGCACTTTCACAACCACTGCATATGAGAATATTGTGAAAGAGATGAGTGCTTTGCTTAATGTTGAATTAGACAAAGAGAAGATTAAGAACAGGTGGAAAACATTAAAAAAAAAACTTCTTTGAAATTTATGATATTTTTAAAAACGGATTAAGTGGATTCGCTTGGAACTCATCAACCCAATTATGAGAGGCAGAAGATCAAGTTTGGGATCAACTTATTGAGGTTAGTTTATTTTGACATTTGTTGTGGAGCACTCTAATTAACATCTAAGTCTATAATTTATTCATTAATATTAACTACTGGTTGAATTTTATCCTTTGTAGTCAAAGCCTAAAACTGCAAATTGGAGATTATTCCTTTTTTCAACTATGATAAGATGGTGACTTTGTACGAAAATGACAGAGCGTCAGGGGAAGGAACTCATACTACAGGTGAAATGTGAAAGAAACGTCACTCAATCAATGAGGATGATTTTATTGATACATACAACAACACTGATAATATTGCTTCCCAACATAATGTCAATATAGAGCATTTTGAAGCACTTGATAATAGTATCAATCAAGATACCTTAATTGGAGTTACAAGTGGTTCATCTAAAAAGAAGCAAAAGGGGAATTCAAATAGAGAAAAAGACTCTGAGTTAGATAGGATAAAAGATGTTATGTCTGAAGTTACACAAGCTATGAAAGATGCAAATCAAATAATGAGAGACACTATTAGAAAGCTTCCAAAATTTTCAAGCAAACAAGTATGGAATATGGTTAAAGAATGTGGCATCGCAACAATCTATATTGCTAAGATCTATAAAGCTCTCATGAGTAATGATAGGCTACTAAGGACATTTGCAGAATGCCCTTTTGTTGGACGGAAGGATTTGGTTATGGAGATTATGAATGACTTAGGAAATTGAATTATGAAATATTTAATTTGGTAATTATTTAGGGACTTTTAATGTTTAGTAGATTTGGTGTCATGAATGACTTAAAAAATATTTAGTCTGCTAAACACTTTGATGATTTTTTATGCTTTTTGATGTTAATAATCCAACTTATTTTTCGGTTTAATGGAACACATGATATTCATATATGTTTTATTTCTAAATATATTGATACTTTTTAAAGAATTCATATTTATACCACAAAAATTATGTAATGATATTTGATGATAATGATATAATATTTTTGTCATGATTATTCTATTTTTCTTGATATAATATGACAAGTATATATTCTTTATAATATGTATATTTGATAATGATAAAAAAAATATTTTGTATGATATGCATATATTTTATGGATATGTAAATATTTTATATATGTGGGGTAGCTTGTTTTTTAATATTCATAAAGTAGAAAATAATAATTTTGATATAAATATTATAATAAAATAATAAAGAAATCTAACTAAAAAAATAAGGACATATTTGTCAACTTATAATTAGTTCTCCTCCTCTTCCCTCCTGAACCAAACATGAAACATTCCCTTCCCTCTTTTCCCCTCAAACCAAACAGCACTCATAACCTCCCCTCACCTCTACTTCCCTCCCTTTAATTAACCTCCCATCCCCTCCCCTCTATTAAACCAAACAAAGCCTAAATCCCGAGGCTAGCCCAATGCATATGTTTACACATCGTTAATTCAGAGTCTTGCATCATCATTGACGATTTTAGATGCTCTTTGAGTGATTAAATACATGATTAAATCATCTCTATGTTTTGCTTTGGTACCTCATAGATTGTACCATCCTAATTTATGAACTAAACTTAAAACTAGCTCCAACTTCATTTATGTTTCCAAAATTATATTTAATTATGGCTTTATTATTATTATCAATGCTTTTAATATTACTGTCATCACAATTCTATAGATACTTTTACAGGTTGTCATGTTATCCTCTCATACTGTGGTTTCTCTTCTAGTAATTTTTCTTATTTTATTTGGAACTTTATTTCAAAAATCAATTGAACTTCATGAGTGCTTGGTTAGATTCTACTTGAGGAATTGTGTGGCTTGTGCACTAGTTTTGACTGCTGGCTTTATTGTTATGTGTGTTTTGATTCAAGTTTATTATTGTTGTGTATAGCAAGAAATTTGATTCAATAAACTTCTTGTCATACTTCTTTTCTCACACATCTAATTTTCCTTTTGAAGGTGTACAACTGTAGATTTTATCATATTTGACACTTAAGACTAATGGGCAAGACCTTTATCGAATGTGGTACTCCGGTGGGACTTCTCTGGGATATTGCTCTTTCATTTGCTGATAATAGGAAAGTGTTCAAGGTATCTAGATTCTTGTTCTAATATGAACTGTTTTTCTCCTTTGGAGAATAATTGGATATCTATTATAAGAAGAGTTCTCATTGCTTAAACATAAAGTTGTCATGAATATTTTCTAATAGGTTTGTGTGTAAGGGATATGTAAATTGGTTTTGGTTTATTTTCTTCAGGCTTGCACATTGAATTGTTTATTCTAATTGTTGTGTATTGTATGCCTTAGTTATATTTAATCAATAATATTTTCAATAAAAATCTATTTTGCTTTTTGAAAAGGAATCTTCAATTGATATATCATGGTCTTGGCTTTTCCTTTTATGGGTGCAAAGATAAAATGCTCTTTTGTTCTTTTTTCCCCCCTATTCTTTTGATAGCTAATACATTGATTAGATTTAGATGTAATTCGAAAGAGATGAATTCGATAAGTATGATCATAACTGAGATATTGATTAATAAGAGAAAACTAACTTGATGTGATGGTGCAGAGAAAACACTCATTGTACATTTTCTTGCTTGCAGTCTATTCTAAAATTAGTGATATTATTGTTTTCTAATTTATGCATGTGCCAGTGTTGGTTTCTACTTACAATTGTTAACTAAGGATGACTGAGAATGAGAATTCAAGTAGCCACTGATTTAGAACAATGTTGCTATTTTACAGTTGGAGGATATGTGACAAGATGTACTAATACATGATCTATGGGCAGTCTACGATAGGGGCATACGAGAATATCGTGGGCATTGTTTTTTTAGATGGTGGAATTTTATTAGTGGAACTACTTTTAAAATTCAAAAAATTTGTGAGACAGTATTCTATTGTATAGAGTGTGCTTAAATGATTAACTTGTTTTAATTTGTCTAATGTGTATTGTATTGGATGTTGAATTTTGATAAATATAATTTTTATTTAATATTATTTTCTTCTTGTTATTATTTAATGGTTATATTGTCTATTACAATAAATGTCAACAGTAAAAGGTAAATAAAAATAAATGCAAAAAATTAATTATATATAATAGAAAATAATAAAAACTATCAAATGAGATCATCTTATTGAACAATTATTATCAAAGAACTGTCACATAAGGTCAAATAAGGTGACCGTATTTGATAGTTCTTGGCTTATTTGGCAGTTATGGCCAAGAACTGTCAAATAAGGTGTGACGTTATTTGACAGTTATTAGCGAGAACCATCAAATAAGGTAACCTTATTTGATAGTTATTAGCAAGAACTGTCAAATATTCTAAAAATATTTGATGCTTCATAACCGTCAAATATTCACTCAAATCTTATATAACGCTACCTTATTTGACTGTTCAGAACCGTCAAATATGATAAAAAATAATCATCAAATAACTCCATTTCTATAGTAGTGAGTTTATTTGAGCGGATTCATAATAAAAGGAGGAATAGATTGGAACATTAAAGGTTAAATGATCTGATTTTTACAAACTACAATTTGAGATTAAAAGATAGGTAATATTAAAAATTATGACTTATGAGTGTTTTTATTGAATATTACTTATTTGCTTTTATTAAATATAGAATTCATTAATGTTGATTTTCTTACATTTTGTCATTAAAGGAATCTATTGAACAAGAAGAAGACAAATTATGATCCTATTGATTATGAATCAATTGATAAAGTTGATTTTTGGGTGGTTGAAGATGCAACTCCTGAATTTGATAATCTAGATGTAATAAATTTTGAAAGAGTTGCCAATAATGAAGACATTGCATTTACATCAACTTTTGAGATTGAGAGGCATGATGAAGGTTTGTAATAAACTAATAATCTCTTCTATTACAGTTACATTTTTATACAAAAGTGTATAACTATTTTTTTCACATAACCTTTAACAATTCAATTATTGTCATGTATAGGTGATGAAGATATGCATATTCCTGAGCCTCCACCTTTGAATGATGATGATATTACTCCAAGTGATTGTGCTGGTCCTTCTGTAGCTTCTCCTCCTCCTCCTAGTGTCTCCATGCCTATGGATCTAAATGAAGTTAATGGTAACTTTGAGGTTGATAATTATTAGTTGGTTTATTGAATGAATCATTATAGGTTCCAATATATATATATATATATATATATTGATAGTTTTCTAGGATGAATATTTAGTATTTTGGTGACATGGGATGGTAGTATAACAATGTGATGTTATTTTGTTATGTAAAAAAAGTTAGAACTTGAAAATACATTGTAAATATATGATTATTTTGTTAGTAATTTAAGGTAATAAATTGATATTAAATTTTTGGATGGTGTGATAAGAATTTAAATTATTTTTTAATTTTTTTAATTCTTTACCTGTCTGACTTTAGGTCAACTCCAAGCTGACCCACTAACCCTTAACTCTACTGCCTTGACCGATTCAGTTGCCAGTCTGATTTTCAATACCTTGCTTTTCAATGAGAATCAAATACGCATAATAAAATTAGAAAAGAAGCATTATTAAATATGCTAAAAATGACTTACATTTAGGATCAATATTTCTCTTTACAAGTGATTTACATTTAGGACTAAAATGATGCCCCTAAAACATGCTTGCTGGTTTGCTTTAAATACTTACAATAGGGATTGGCTTTGTGAAATTAAAGACAACAAAATTAAAAACATGATTCAAACAAATCTCCTTATTTGACTCAAAATAATTTAGAAGTCAACAAATTTCTTTTCTTTGAGGCTTTCCACCATTTCTTTGAGGCTCACTTCAAGCGGAATGAATTCAATCCCCAATGTCTTTGCCTTTTCTTTTGAAATATGATACATTGTCATCAATGTGTCATCTTCACACCTGATAAGTTTATTGAGAAATTGAGAGATAAAATTAGCAATTTGTTCATCTCAAAAAAAGAAAAAATTTCATTGATATATAGCCAGATTATTTATGCAGGTTGTGATGAGTGATCAAAGTAAATATGAATCTAATTCACAAAAATAAAGAAAATATATGTTGAATGCATAATAGACAAAAATGATTTTATATGTTTCCCTCTGTGTTCATTCTTCTTTTTCAATTTCGAATGCAATAAACAAAGAGAAAAATAGATATAAACCCCTCTTTTAGAGAGACAGAGAGAGAGAGAGAACCTCATATCATTCTCATAATAGTAGTTAAGTGCTTGTTTTGTCTGGGATCATGATTGACATCCCAAAAATACTTATTCACACATTTATTTCATATCCGTAAATTATTACTGGAATCCCCAAAAAAACACTTTATTTAGTCATGTTATGATCTTTACTGATAAATTGAAATATACTCTCACAGATCATCAGTAAAAACAAATATTCCAAAAACATTAGAGAAAAATACATGCGAAGCAGTGTGTATTATGTTATTTCTTAAAATTATACTGCCCCTGCACCTTAATATAAGACTCAGTTGATTAATTTAGAGAGATTAAAAAAGCTAAATAATGACTACTTATAGCATATATTACTTGTGTATATCATTAGACTATATATTAATTTATAAGTCAGGTAAATTAGTTTTAAAAAACCATAAATATAAATATTTATAATAATTTATTTATCTTTCTTAATTTCTATAAATTAGTCAACTATTAATAATTGAACTTACTTTTCAGGAAGTTGCAGTGTTGGATACAAGTCGTGTAAAATCTTCACAACATCCGAGAAGTGTGCAACTCTCTCAGCCAAAATATACCTTCCATTAGCAGAAGGAATTTCAAATGCCTGAATATGGGCATTTACAACATCTTTCACATTGATCCATCCAAAAGTAACATTTGGAAATGTCTTTGCACCTACATCGACCAGGAATGAGGGAAGGAATGACAATTACAACAATAAGCATTATCATATTGTCTTACTATAAATAGTACTACCTCCTTTTGTCCTCAATATAAGATAAAATTGGAAATATAATCTGGTTTAAATATTAAGCTCTAATTATTTTATCTCCTAATTTTATAATTTTTTTTCAAAATATTCCTATCAATTATAAGGAACTACTACCAAGAAGTAATTTCAATACATATGATTAAAGAGAGTAGTTTATGAGAGTTAGTATATATATGTTACATATAACTAACTTAACTAATTTTTTAAATATTTTTAACTTAGTTATCTAACTCTTATATTAAAAATTGGAGATAGTATTGGGTTTATAAATGGCATGGCATTATACTATTATATTGCTTCCTGGATAGTACAAGTCTGTGGATCTGTTCATATTCTGTACATAGTTATATACTACTTCTGGTTCAAAATATAAGTTAAACTTTCTCAAAAGAATTGGTTTTTTATAAGATAACATTCACTTTTGTTCAAGCATTTAATGAGTTTTCTTTTTCTAATTTTATCCCAATATATTCTTTTTCCTTTTTAATTCATTTATTGCATCTTTTACCTATTATCTTCATTAATAAGAGTATATTAGGAAAAACAAATATATACCTTACACATTTATTGTTTTAAATTGATTTTAATTAGTTTCTTGATAAACATAAATGGATAAAATTTCGCTTATATTTTGAACCAGAGGGAATGTGTGTGTGTGTATGGGCTTCTCTCTCCCTCACTCTCAATGTCAACTAATTTAGAGATAGCGAGTGAGAATATAAAGAACGAGTAGAGTCGAAGAAAGTGAATATGATTCACTTTCTAGCCCCCATCCCATTAATACATTACATGCGTGTGTGTAAGGAAATCAAGAAGTTAAGCAAGCATATTGTATTCCTGTTCATTAAAGTAAAATAAGAAATGAAGGTAAAACCTTATTGTAGAAATGCGCCATTTCTTTTTTTTTTTTTTTTTTTTGCACTAGTGGTAGCTAATCACTCTGAGGTGTAAATGAAGGTAAATAGCAAATGAAAATTACCGTTCAACAGATTTGTGACAAAATTAGCAGTTGCGTTAAGCGTTGGTTGCAAGAGAGGCCCTATTACCGCTGCCGGATTGATAGTGACAATTTCAAGGTTGTTTTCTTTTGCAAATTTCCATGCAGCTTCTTCAGCCAAAGTCTTAGAAAGTACATACCCTGACCATTTCTATGAAAGAAAAAAAAAATAACAGAAAAAATAACACTGTAATTCTTATTATAAGTCACTCATAACTTATTCTTACATTCTAAGTTACGTATCTAACTGATGATAAAAATTTTTTGAATTTATCCTTGTTAAAATTTGTCTCTTTGTACTTTAACAAATCATTCTTACTTCTATCTAACAATTTCAAGGCCTTTTTTTTCTTTTTTTGCAAATTTCCATGCAGCTTCTTCAGCCAAAGTCTTAGAAAGTACATATCCTGACCATTTCTATGAAAGAAAAAAAAATTAACAGAAAAAGTAACACTGTAATTCTTATTATAAGTCACTCATAACTTATTCTTACATTCTAAGTTATGTATCTAACCGATGATAAAATTTTTTTGAATTTATCCTTGTTAAAATTTGTCTCTTGGTACTTTAACAAATCATTCTTACTTCTATCTAACAATTTCAAGGCCTTTTTTTCTTTTTTTGCAAATTTCCATGCAGCTTCTTCAGCCAAAGTCTTAGAAAGTACATATCCTGACCATTTCTATGAAAGAAAAAAAAATTAACAGAAAAAGTAACACTGTAATTCTTATTATAAGTCACTCATAACTTATTCTTACATTCTAAGTTATGTATCTAACCGATGATAAAATTTTTTTGAATTTATCCTTGTTAAAATTTGTCTCTTGGTACTTTAACAAATCATTCTTACTTCTATCTAACAATTTCAAGGTCTTTTTTTTTTTTTGCAAATTTCCATGCAGCTTCTTCAGCCAAAGTCTTAGAAAATACATATCCTGACCATTTCTATGAAAGAAAAAAAAATAAACAAAGTAACATTGTAATTCTTATTATAAGTCACTCATAACTCATTCTCACATTCTAACTTATGTATCTAACTGATGACAAAATTGTTTTGAGTTTTTCATTATTAAAATTTTTTCTCTTTGTATTTTAACAAATCATTCTGACTTCTATCTCTTCTTTATTTTTTTTTAAACGAGAATTAAATAATGATAAAATTTAAAAAACGATTATTAAGCACCTTACAAGTACTTATATTTAGAATCAGAAATTCTCCCTATTTTATTTTTTTGACCAAAAAGAAACTCTGCTATGAGTAACTTATAATAAAGATCAAAGTGGTAACTTGAAGGCATTGCAGAGCTGCATGGCCTATACTAGTACCTAGTCTTTTCAGATAATCCTGCCTATAGTTTTAACAATAGTAGAACCTACGTGCGTACCTCATTTTGCTTACAAATATTTGGATCTGAAAACCATGTCTCGTTAACTATAACTTCGGGAGTTCTAGGTTTTGCATTGTAGAAAACTGCAGCCACAGAAGATGTTAGGACAACTCGTTTCACAGATGATGTTTTCACGCATGATTTAAGAACATTGAGAGTTCCCTTCACTGCTGGATCAATAAACTCAACCTAAAATCAACAAAGCTACTAATTAATCAAAACATTTAAAATACTAAGCAGGATGACTAGCTAGCAACTACAATGCACACTTAATGAATTATGAATAAAATACTAAGCAATATGACTAGCTAGCAAATAGTTTAAAGCCATTCATACTATACACACACATATATAACGGTTAAGGTACAAATTTACTCTAAAAATTTCTGCTCAAGAGTAATATCACCGGGAATTTTTTTTTTGGGTTTAATGTTGCCCTGAAAACTTCAAAACGTAACAATAATGTTGTCCCGTCCTATTAAAAAGATTAGCATTGATTGTTAAAAAAACAAACACTAACAGTTAATAATTTTACCGGTAATAACACTTTTGAGACGATCCTAAACCTACAAAAAAAAAAAAAAACTTTAGGCAACAATTTTCCTAAGCAAGAACTTTCGTGCAGATTTGCATCTTATTAACTCTGTATAAAAGGAATTGCAAGTGCCCAAGGATTTATTGTACGTAAATGACGCCTTAGAGTGATATATATGAACCTGAGGGTCCACTTTGACAGCAAGAGAAACAGGAGATGCAGTATGAAAGACACCATCACAGCCTTCAACAGCAGAATCAAAGGAACCTTCTTCCAACAGATTTGCTTGCATAAGCTGCAATCTCTCCTTTGCTCCTTCCAGTTTCAGCAAGTGTTCTGTCTTGTTTGAATCATCTGCAGAAAAATAATGATGATGAAAACATATGGAAAACAACATAACCGAATTGCTTGATAAGAAAATAGCATCTTCTAACGAGCACAAGTGCAAGGGAGAACCACATGTCCTAAAAAGCTAGCCGCTGAAGCAGAGCCCAAGCCTTTATAAGGCATCTCTTTCAAGATAATCTCTCAATGTGGGACTCATGACACGTCCACGTCTAATTAAGGACTTTTATGGAGACTCTTTACCAGAAATTATGATTAAGAAACCAAGTGAAACACAAAAACTGTGAGTGGTTATAGATAGAGAGTACTCACTTAGGTCACGAACAGTGCCTTTGACAGAGTAACCACGAAGAAGAAGAAGCTTAACGAGCCATGAAGCTATAAAGCCAGAAGCACCAGTGACGCACACCACCTTTCCATTTCCTGTGTTGCTTTCCATCCCCTTTCTCTCTTGCTGTTCGAGCAATACTAAGCTATCTGTTTGGTGGATACATGAGTGAAAGAATTTTGGAGAGAAAGAAAGATTTATGCTAGAAAAGTTTTCTTCGATTTGATGCGGTAGTAATGAGAGGGTGTATTGATATAATTATTACCATATTAATTGAATATCACTGAATTGATGGCAATAAATGAGCGCATCAGCATTGATTGATTGGAAATATTTGTCAAAATTTGTTTTGATAGCATTTATTACAACCACTTGAATCTGAAAAATTCAATGTATTTATTACATTCATTCATTTGGGTAGTTGAAGAAAATGACCCATAAACACAAAGTTGATGAGTATGGGATCCACCTGCATCTAGTCAAGATCCACTTTATTTACAAAAGTAAACGCAGATATAGTATAACGCATTCAAACAGTCAAACTCAAACAAAAATGCTACAGAGAAAAAATGGATTAGCCTGATTATTGTTCCTTCTAATTCTTATTATAAACTTCAAATAACTAATTTATGAATAATAAATAATTAGTTAAAAATAATAAATAGGTTAGAAATTTACTTTTATTTCTAAATATGTCTTTATAATAAAAAAAAAAAGATGAAAGAGAATGTGTGAAAAAATGCCATAAGAAAGAAATAATTAAGGACAACATTAAAAAATACTTTAAATGTTAAGGCAAAATCCAAATTCAAACTTATAAAAAGGACAACATCCCTTCTTAAATTTGAAGCTTATAACACTACTGCAGAAAATATTTTTTATGATGGTTAAAAAAAATTTTCCACAACAGTTTTGGAGGTGCAAAGTATACTATTGACATAAAAAAAAAAAAAAAAGGATTTCACCACGATTAGTAATTGCCATGAAAAATATACTTTCTACAGTGGCTTTCAGGAAATAACCACTATGAAAAATCCTCAATAAACAGTGTTTGGAGCTCACTTTCCACAACAGTTATTTACAAAACCACTATCAAAAAATACTTTTTATGACAGTTAAATAAATAACTGCAGTAGTTATTTATGTAACCACTATTAAAAAATACTTTTTATGGCAGTTAAATAAATAATCGTTGTCAAAAGTTTAATTTTTTTTTTAAAATATAACTTTGTTTAAATTTGTATACAATGTCCATGCTAAAACTCAAATTCAACCCTAAGATAATAAAAGTTTCCAATCCTTATTCAACTAAACCCAATAATCAACAATTTAATCAATCCATAGTTCAACTAAACTAAAGCTAATAAACAATGAACTATAAAACCTATATTCAACTATTAGTACCAAAATTTTGAACTTCAAAATGTTTATCAATCCATATTCTCAACTAATATTCTTTACAAAGCATCCTCATTGAGTTGATTTTATCGGGTTCATATTCCACACTATTTAAAATGCCCGTAAATTAAAAGAAACAAAGTCATTAGTTAAATGGATAAAAAATGTGAAACAAAATTGAAGAATTACAATGTAACTTCTATTTACCTCATATAATTTCTTAGTAACTCGTGTCACAATGATATCATTTATATAGTAGATCACATAATATCCGCATTCAATACTTTCATATTAGTGATGGTACTAACAAAATGAAAAATAGAATTGAATATTTAACTTTTATTATGTAAAAAATTTATAAACATAAAACTTAGCTCAGAACAATTTACCTATGGGACAATCTATCTTAGTGGTAGCTTTTTCTTCTTGGTCACTATGTTAAAACTTTAAAAAGCCCTATTAACAATTAGGAAAAAAAATGATATTACAACATGTTTTTGTAAATTTTATGGGTAATAAATTTATAAATATAAACCCATGTCTCAATAGCATCCTTGGTTTTGTCTTTTGGTGCTCCACTAAGAGAATCGAACCAGTAGACATTGTTATCCTAGGGGGAAAGAACAAGAAAAGTCCACTGATAACTACAAAATACAAATAATGTTAATTATAATTATATATATAATTTGTATGTATCCCAAATGCAATAATATACTTACCCTTCAACGTAAAGTGCAAAATATATTATCTTCTTGGTCCGAGTCATTGTGATCATCATGTACACTGACCTCGCTTCTGGACTATTTGATGTTCCTTGTACTTTTTAAGGACACAAAAAGCCATATGTGCCCTCATTTCCTTTTTTCGTGTAGATGCGGCTGAAGTGTCTATTGTTCATATAGGAAAAAATTAGGACATGCATAATTATAATATAAGATGAGAAAAGGATATTGTAACTTAAAAAATGGTTAGCTGCATGAAGATTGCATCTAGCTTCTAAAAGTTAAGAAGCTCAACAAGGTTCTTCTTGTCGATGGTGAAATCATATGTAAGCTCCAAACCCACAATGCCTAGCGGCATTTAAAACTAAGTAGCTGCTCTATTTCATGCACCATGAAATGAGGCAACGCTAAATGTTCACATCTAATTGCAATGTTGGCGTTAAGGGGCTTGAGGACAGGAACTACATTCTTTGCCACTTCTTTGTTGTCAACTTTTTCAGGAAGCATATCACTTAATAACTCAAGTAATTCCATGAAGTGCCACATTTAGGGCACTTATTCAATCCTTCATACTTATTTTTAAATAGTATGCAATTATTAGGGTATGCATGTTTCTTCTTATATTCTAAACCCATTAGACACCAAATTTTCTTCATCTTGTACATTCCTTTTAGAAGTAAATTTCCTTTAGGAAATATATCACTCAACAACTTGAATAATTTCATGAAATTAACATCTGTCCAACCATTTTTTACCTTCAAATTCATCAACTTCAACACGGTTGTCAACCTTGTGTAATCATCTTTATACCTTGAGTACAAAGGCATCACTATATCACTAAGCAAGTTTTCACATGTCGGAGAGAATTGTACAAAAGACTTAGACCTTATATAATGGAATATATTTGGAAATTCTATTGCCAAAGTCATTATTCATAACTTTTTCCTTTTTAGTTAGGGAATTCTTTCTAATTTCACCATGCCATATACAATTTGTGTACCTCAAATTTCTCCCATAATAGATAATATGCTATCTTATCTCAGAAATACTCCTTTGACTATTGTTTAAGCACTTGACACAAGAATTACAATACAAGTTATCTTTTTTGTTAGGGGCATTTCTCTAAGCAAACTCAAGAAACCTTTCAACCTTATCTTCATATTCTTTGCTAATTCTCCTAGCCTTCATTCAACTACAATCTATTATTCTACATAGTCAAGAAGTATAGTTGTCAAGCTCAATTCTAGCTACTTAGCTCAAATATTCAAATAAATCAAATAATTAAGTGTTAGTCAATAAATAAAATTGACTAATACTTAATTACAAATTAAAGGGAATGTTTTTTTTACTTTATAAAAATTTTGGCAAAGTTTCCTCTTAAATATAAGGAATCCCAAATAATTTACATGATAGACAAATCAACCAATCAACCAACTACCAATATAAGGAACAAATAAAAAGTAAATTTGAACAATTATAAATAACAAAACAAAAGCAACTATCTCAAAGTAATAAATAAAGATTCTTAAAAGTTAAAACTTTTGAATCCAAAACAGGAATACAAATAATATCTATTTATAATAAAATTTTAAATAACACTTCATCATTCATCAAAGTTCACAACAACAAAAGCTCTACAGATTATTCATAACAAAAATTTGACAAAAATTCAAAGTAAATATAAGAAGGGTTAATATAATGTTTAGTTCTTACAATTTGTCTTTATTTTAGTTTTGGTCCTCATAGTTTTAAGTCATAGTTTTTGGTCCATCAAGTTTTATTCTGTTCACAATATTAGTCCTTGTAGCTTAATAAGGGCCTAAACAGTCTAAGTTTGCTGATGTGTCACTATCACCATTTATTCTATTGACATGGCATGCTGACTAAGCAAGCTGACCAGACATGTGATTTTCATTATTAAAAAAAAAACCATTATCTTCTACTCACTCTGCATCAGTGTCATCATCAGAATTGCATTAAGCATTTCCTTTGCTAGCTCTAATGGCATCCTCCCCTCCTCTCATGATTAAAGGCACGATTCTCAGCAAGAAAGAATGAGAGCAGGAAGAGCAAGCAAGGGCGTCATTCAGGCTGAAGGAAGATTCTCTTATAGCTGCTCCCTTTCCCTCCATTGAAAATCAAAACTCACTCCTTCGACGATGTCCTTCACAAATCACGTCGTCAAACCTCCAGCGAAGAAGAGGATTCAGTCTAGTCAACGGTGTCTCTGTCTGGCCCTTCCTGGCTTTCTCTCCCTCCTCTTGATGAAGAAGACGATCCCCCGTGACTCCTCAGCCCTTCTTCGTTGTTTCACTTATAAAAGGGGAAGGCAGAAAAGAAAAGAGAGCAAATGTGGAAAAGGTTCGGTTACTTGGGTGGGGAGGTGGAAAGGGGTGAAGAATGTTTATGCTTGGAAGAAATCACTGTTGTTTTAAAATTATATGTTTATATAAGGATGTTTTCGTGGGTTGGAGGCAAAGAGATTGAAGAATTTGTTTGAAATTTATTAACATTTTATATGAAATATATAAGTCACCCAGCTGGAAAAAAACCAATCAATTAGGAAAGAGAAAATCATGTGGAACATAGATATCTTATCTGAGTCATCATTAATTTATAAGAGTAATATTATCAGGAAAAAATAAATAGAATTGAAGAATACGAGGATCACAAGGTACAATTGCTTTGCCGTTGGAAAGATCTTTAGGCTTACAACTTTTAGATTCATGGCTATGTTAATCTCTGTTTCCTGAACAAAAAACAGAGGTGGCTCATGAAGCAAGTACTTGTCTTTCCAAATTTTGCCCTTTAAATTATTGATCATTCAGAGATTGCGTAATAAAAAATGTTCATTGTACATTACTGATCATCATAAAGATGCATAGAAAAAGCCTGAAAGCAAATCTGATCTTGAACAGACCAGCAGAGGAGCACATTGCAAAATCAGATAGTGATGAGGTGGAGATCATGTATGAGTTTGAGAGCAAGGTGACACTTGACTC